TCGCCATGCCGACCCTTCTCGCTGGTCGGTCAAGGATACACCAAGATTGTACAACGTTGGTGCATGACGGCCGTATTCATGGAAGACAAGGGCGTACCGCAGTCGAAAGCGGTGGCGCGCGGGTGGGCGCGAAAGCGGGAGCAGGGGCGCGGAGGGGTGGGGCAAGACCACCGTGTGGTTTGCCTGAGGAAGGGCGGCTGACAGCCTTGGACGGCGCACGCAAATCAGGCATCTCTCCTTGGTTGAGTAAGAAAATTCCGAACCATGCTGACCTAGGGAGGGTGTACTCAGAGCCCTGAATTAACAAAGTCGTCGTGGCCAAGTCTCGACGCTTCGCAGCATTCAACAAGCGCAGCACCACGAAAACCCGAACGATTGAGCGTCTGACGAGAGGCATACACGTGGCAAGCTCATGCGCATACAGGCGTAAGACAAAGACGCACGTCAGCCGACACGCAATTTACAGGTATGTACACCAGTGCCCATTCGCCCCTGCCCGGCGTGCTTCGTTGCAAACACGTCTCTTCGCCATCGAGCAAAGAACCTACGGCATTTGTGACTTTCCTGTCGCTGATCCTGTGGCCGTTCTGCATCTCGCAACACAACGGCTTACATCACCCCGGCGACCGGACTGCTTGGGGTGCCAAGGCCTCCCCCGTGTGCCGTGACTCCGGTACGACGGTGTGCCTCAAACAAACGTATCCTCAGTTACATGCTCGCTTCTTGGGTCCTCTTGTGTTTCGTCTGTCCTTCTTCTCGGCAGACCCACAACATGTCCGAGGCACACCTTCACCTTCTCTTGTCTATCATGTCGTCCCTCTCTCTCTTTCTTGGACTAAACATCTCAGTGGTGGATCTGTGTACCTCCACCCATCTCTCAACATATTTGTCGCTCTCCTCTCTCTTACCGACAATGACCAAAGCGCCCCGTCCTCCTCTTGAGAGTCCTCCTCCACAGCGCTATTCAAAACCTTCGCCGTAAGCCGTTCGCTCTCGCTTCTCGCAACAGGTGGCGCCCCGTTACCGTCCCCTTCAACCTGCGATGGTGGTCCGCCTCCACGTTCGGTCGGGGGGTGGGGGAGGCAGGGCAAAGGGGAAAAATGTAAAGAGTGGATCATTGCTGTGCTCCTTCTATCCCAGTTCTCGTTTGGTTTAGGTAGAAGGGGAAGGATAGCAAGAGGGACACGGCACCCATCACGCTTTGGGGCAATATATCTGGCTTGAAAGAACACGATTACTTTGCTGGGACTGCTTGGTGGGTCGAGCAAGCCGAGTTCGACGCATTCGGGTGTACAGTGCTTGGGTCTCGTCCCCTGTTTCGCGTGCTTGAAACAACAGGTAGTCTCTCCGTACTCTCGTGTGCTGATTTTCTCAAGAAATCATTTGATCACGTGCTCTGTGCACAGTCTACTCACGGACACCCCTTCGTCACCGGTTCCCCTGAACACATCGGGAGGTACGAATAGCCTCTCCTTTGCTGTAGTGGTCGGTGCTGAGGATAACGAGAAAATGGTTGGTGTTCCGTTGCTCGAGTTGGACTTGTTTCTTGACAAACGGAACCAATAGTCTAATGGTATGGATTCCGTTCTTCCCCGAATCCCATGTGAACTACAAGCCTTGAGACCAGCTTGTGTCGGCGCGAGATTATACAACTGCGGCACGAGGGCTAGCGGGCAACTTAGCAAACCTACCCACCAGGCGCCGACATTGAGCCGGTTGTGGATTCCAATACTGTACTCTCGGTATGCTGTACAATGTACCTCGTGAGTGTTTGTAGACAATGAAAGGGACGCAACTACAACGCTTCTCACAAGTCGAAGGCAAGTGCCACAAGGGAAAGGTGGGACATCGGCTGGCATATCCATGTATCTATACGTCAAATATTTTCCGAAAGGTGTACACTGCTGCCTGTCACCAGAATACAGCTGTGGGAAAAACACCACACACGCACGCCGGTGGTGAACTCTCGTCCGTTACACACGTGAACAACGTTGCCGTCGGGATGTAGCTATCACTGCCGGCAGATTTTGGCGCCCCAATCTAGAGGGACCAACAACACTCCACGTGGCACGAAACGTACGGTGGAGTAGGGGGGTAGGAGCTCATCTCTGTGTGTTCCAAAGGGGGGCGAGGGTATCTGGCTCATTCTTTATGTATTACCCCGCTTCCAAAAAAAAAGACACCTGCTGTGGAGGGGGGCAGCAGGTCCATTGCTGCTGTTGTTGTTGTCTTCACATTAAAAACCGTTCCGATCTCTCTCTACCCAGTACCTTCGTATGTCCGTACTGATCCAACACTCGACGCGGTCGATTCCCGTGTCAACAGGTTAACTTTACCCTAAGGTGCACTCAAATAAACTGGCCTCGAGGGGTTCGCAAGTCAATAGAAATAACGACAGATTCTGGAGTCCTCCACTCCGTTCACGAGCTACCCCGATCTCACGACAGCAGTAACTCCCAACCGCCAAACTCAGGATCCCCTTCTCAGCAGTGCTAGGGACCGTATATCCGTCTTTGCTGGGTAGTCTTTCGAGGTCTAGATCCACTTGCGGAACCTTGGCCTACCCCACGGGTGGCAGGCCGGGGAGAGCAATTTTATGGAACTACCCATGGGTTGGGTTGAGTGGAAACCACGAGAACGGTTGTACCACCGAACAAACGCACAGCGTGCTCGCTCGAGCACACAAGCACCTATGCACACAAGCACCTATGCACGGGAACCACGAGAATATGCATAGGTGCCTAGGAGACCCGGGACCGGCAGGTAGGCAAACCATATGTCCCGAAGTCTGTCAAAGGTGACGAGGTGATGATCGACGTGCAGCCAGCAGCAGCAGAGAGTGTGAGGGCTCCCATCTTTGCCCTCGTTCCCCGCCCGCGGTCTCTCTAATATAGTCTTTCTGTACGTGTATTTATTTCTCCTTAATTATCTTTCCCTCGTTCGGAATCCCCCCCCCTGAACAGAGGGCAAGCTGGCACCATCCGCCCTCCTCACCTCCTATGAATCGCTGGTTGTGGAGAGCGAGAGCTCCCGGCGAAGCTCCATCGCGTTCTTGTTGTGTTGGTGTGGAAGCCGCTGTGGACACCGCCGTGAAACTACCAGCGATCAGCAGGCAGACCAAGGACGCCAGCACCGCTGGTCGAAAGCCACTCCTCCTCCTCCTCCTCCTCCTCCTCCTCCTCCTCTTCTCATGCATCACAGCGGCATACGGCACCACCATGCGCCTTACCAGTTGCCGCGCTGATCTCTCCCGCCCAGATGTTGTGCACTGGCACACCCCGTGTGAAGGGAGGCACCACGATTCGCACCCCGCTAAGAATGGTGGAAGAATGTTCTGAGAACGTTCCCGCTTGGAGAGGAAGCACGAACAATCCCTGCTCTTGGAATTACGCTGCTGCGCTGGTGCCGTGAAAACATGCAAAGCACATCGGAGAACACAACCATGCAACCCAGGACCGAGAGGAATGCAGTTTCACGTACGAGCAAAGCATGGGCACGGTGGTGCGACCTAGATGCAACGAATATGGCGAAGGTCGCGAGCTTGGTACCATGATAATCTGGCTCGCTCGCTGCAGTACACCACAACGAAGCGTCCTGGTTTTCTGACGGTCCTCTGAACGGCTTGCGAAAATCACGGAGTGCGTAGGTACGACACATGCAACGGGGAGAAGCCATTTCATATACATGCAACGGGGAGAAGCCATCCATTTCTACGAAAACCATGCCCGTTGCTGGTTCGTTGGCAGTTTACATACATACATACACCTGCATGTCGAGCGGCGAACGTCGCTGAGGCTCCAAGATCAGATGTTCGACCCGACGAACAGAACAACAAGAAGGGCTTTATAGACGCCTGCATACAGGAGTACACCGGTGGTCTAGTGGGTAGCCTCACAGGCTGCTAAGGACCAGATCATGGGTTCGAGTACCGACAGAGTGAGTTTTTTCTCGCTAATTAAATCCTGGTCTCCGTTGGAGCGACGCGCTGCAAAGCTCGTTTATATAAATATATATATATGATATAGGGAAAACGACACAACAGGGTACCCTGGTCGAAAAGCGACAAACCTGGGTACACAGCAGTCATGACCAGCAGTAAATTCACTCATTTGATTGGTCAGCGCCCAATTTGGCTCCAACCGAACATTCAACCGCCGACAGCAAGCGCGTGCGTGTTCTGGGGAAAACTTGACAGTCTCGTGCGGAAGATCCCTTCCAAAAAATGTAAAGAATGTGTGTATGTCCTTAGGACATACATTGTCCTACTGGACGCCAACGCGCGGACGGGAGATAGGTTGGACGGAGGGGATGGAAGGGTAATAGGAATGTACGGGCGTGATGAGCTCAACGACAATGGCATGCTACTGTTGAACTTCGCAACGGAAAACAGGCTAGCTCTCACGAACACGTTCTTTGAGACACGCAAAGGCGGAATATGGCACACATACAACGGTGTGTCGGGAAACGATTGCAAGCGCCTTGACTACATCCTGACAAGGCAGGCACATCACGGCCGAGTTTCTAACGTGGTCGTCATCCCCCAGCCGATTCGCCCAGCCAAAGCTGACTCAGACCACCATATGGTAGTAGCCACCGTCAACCTCGGTGGCATGCTTGCCCAAAACCGTGCAGTCCGGACTAAAACCGAAACAGAAGCAATTCAACCGTCGGGACTTGCAGTTCGAAGCAGCACGGTGTGCGGTGACTAATCGGTTCCTCCTCAACCTCGACACACGACTGGACGAGCGAACAACCACCGCCGCGGAATTGGCGACCGACTTTACCAATGCTCTCCTCGACGCAGCGCGGACGACCCTGGGGGAGGAACCGCGGAGACGCCGCACGCAGGAGTGGTGTGAGACCCCAGAGACGCGAGCAGCGCTGGAGCAGGCCCTTACCAAACGTCGGGAAGCGCGCCGGAGGATGAGGGGCAACTGGAACTCAGCGACGTGGAGCTCAAAGCAGCGTGTAAGGGAGTGGCTACAGCAGTCGAAACGGGCATGTTTGCCCACCTGGACGGATGTGTGATTGAGCTCGAAGAAATCTACAAACATCGCGACATGCGAGGACTGTACCAACACCTCAAGAGATCAGTGGGCCTCAGCGGGAGACAAGCGGGGGGACAGCAGTT